TGACATGACATGACATCTCGAAAACATGGAATGTTAGAAGAACCAGTTTAGATGGGATACGCTTTGTAAAGATCATCAATTTCACAACCCAAATGTGTGCATACGAAACGCGGTGCCTGGAACCATATTGAGAATGGAACACACATAGATTCCCGGTTAGGCAAGAGGAGTTGTATGCATGAATGACCACAGAGTACAAGAAGTTGCATAGCTCGCTGATTGTTAGCATAATATCATAAAATCAGGCAGAACTCATTCTCTAATTCTATTCTTTGAGGGCCAATCTGTGTGACGTTTCAGAGGTAGGAATCTGAGTAACACCAAGACAACTAATTCCGTTTGGAAGATCTACCAAGGAATCTTGTGAGATGGCAAAGTAATTTAATCCCATTATTTTTTCACCTTTCACAGTCACATAATTTTCCTGATTTATTTGTAGAAATGCAACCTACTGCGGTTATCTGACACTAAGGCATTGGGAATACACTGTTCATTTTCAATAGTGTATCCTCTTTCTTCATCGGGAAATAAAAGCTTGCACTGTCGTAGTGTGAGTGAGATCGTGGTCGTATGCTACGGTTGATCGTAAACTGAACCATTCACCGCAGTTGGTTTTCTCCGTCCACAGCACGGCATAACACTGGATTATTTTAAATTCACATGATATTTTCGTGAAGTCAAATGAATGCTACGTAACTTCAAGTTACAGAGCTAATCACACGGTTTTTCAAATATAGTGAAGTACCTGGTTTGAAAGTGGTTTTTCGTAGCCTACCCTGTCTGTTTCGTTATGACTCGTCAGGAAAGAGCCGCAATTTTGGTAATGGAGGGAGATCTACGTTTTTGTATTGTAAAACAGAACACGGAGCTCTCGTACCGTACGTAAGCAAGCATGTATGGAATATGTGCCAAACAAAGACTACACGAGCATTATGAACAAATCAATTAATCAATTTATAGTGACTTTGTGAGTAGACATGACCAACAAATCGTAGCATTGTAGGTAAGCACAGAGTGTTCGATCGAAATTATGCATGCATGTAATATACACGCAACATACGTGAAAGAGCCAGTGTGGTTTAGAGATTTCGTGATTATTGTTCGTTGCGACCACGACATGACTGCAACACGTACGTAGTGCACGAAAGCTGAAATATGGTCCATCTTATGGGTAACTCTCGAAAGGTCAGCTCTCACAAGCAGTCAAACGTCAGAAAATGTGCATGAGTTTACGTGTTCCACTGTCATTGGTATCGGAGTTCAGTTCAACCATGGTCTAAAGGTCTGGCGGTCTCAGGGATTTCAGAGCAGACAGGTCTTAATTGAAAAATAAATGACCTAATGAGAGCTTCCGTGTGTATGCGCACATGTGCAAATAAGCTAGGATCAGTAGCTGACCGGCCGGCGAACTATGCCACAAGAAGCGCGAGAAAGCATTCAACACCACTAATAAAAACAAATCTGAGCAATGGCAAATTTTTGTCACCCACTAAGATCGTTCGTGATCCGGATTCTATGAGAAAACGAAATAAATCCATATAAGGAGCGTCATCTTCAACAGTTATGCTTAGAAGAAGCAAATGAGCTTCGTCAGTTTTGGACCTCGTATCTCAGTCACCATATTGTAGAGTGCAACTTGTTTAGCCATGAAGCCGTATTTGACGTACGTGGAATACAAACCAGTCGACTGTATTGGTCACAAGAGGATTTCAGGCAGTTTGCTGTTGATGAAATTTCAACAGAATACAAGGTTAATGGTTTCGAGAGGAATCCTTGAAGGAAACATTACCGGTTTCTATTTCCCGATGGAAACTTCACATGTACAATCAGATTGCATTTTACTGAGTTACAAAATGGAGAAGAGAAAATTCGCCCGTTCGTCTCACCAAACCTCGACTTCCCGAAAAAGGAATTAACGCCACTTAGTGGACATCCCCGAAAAGTATTGCTCATTCATAAGTCAGTACAAAAATTTCCTTGAGTGAAAAGCTATCAAATCTGGGCACAGGTTTTGTGTTTAAAGCGTTACTGCCATGGGAAAGCCAGAGTCGCAGCAGAAAGTTGGTCAATGCTTGATCCAGCAAGGGGGTCTATAGAAAGACAACATGGAATGGGTATTATACTAATGTTCCCAGTTTTGTACCCAAAGAAGAAATCTGGTGAGATTTGTGACATATAGGGTTAAAGGCATATTCCTTGAGGTTACGCCAGGTGTAGAGTTACAGACAATCCACAACTTCCTATCAACGAATGGATATCCGTAAAAGCCCATATTGCCTTATGACAGTATTCCCGAAATCCCATTTTAACTCAATGCACGTAATATTCATGGAAGTGTTCGAATAAGCACCAGTCGTGCAAACAACACATCTACTTTCAGGGAAATAAGAAAATGAATGCACACAAAAAGGGCCGAGTAGTGTGCCACCTTGGCGGTCATACGGAAACTCATGATGAATTCGGTAAATAATATAATTAGGAGTTACGAACTTCAGAATGTTCTGTTTGCTGCCATCGATGGTGACTTATACTTCCGTTTTACATTGTCAAATGTGGGAGGGCAAATACGAACATCCACGCGGTTCCTCTTATATTCGATAGAACCCCGCTGTGAAAACGACTGGAAAAAGCGTTGCTGCTCTATGTTTCACAAGCAACTTACTGGATTTATCTTCGCTTTGTTGGACATCTAAAACAAGTCAAACACATGGTCTTCCTTCACAAGTCTAATAGTCTGTGTAAATTACTTTATGTAATTGGCTTTCTGATGACATTCTCACTTGTTCTACTCGAGTTACGTGCACGTGCATCAGGAACCTCTAGCTTTCATGACCTAATTCCACCTTTTCCAATGCACTGACGAGTTCACATTTAGGTTTTATGATGTATATTGCACGAATATTCTACGCTCAGCTTACTGACTCTGGTATCCCAAGACTGTACGTATCCATTGTAAGATAACTTTGGTAAAAGTTTCGCCCATGTGTGGAAATGGTCCACTGGGCGTTCACACTTCCCACCGCAGCCTTGCTGTCACTGTTCTAGACCGTCAGAGCACGGACCATGGATCTGTGGCACAAACAAACCTATTGCCAGCTTTATTCGTTCACATTGACTCATGTCAATTCTGTCGCTTTTCAACTGCTACTATTTGTACTTTGACATTGGTAACTCTTTTGCATATTCTAACTATAGATCATTTTCGTATTCTGTGACTGGAGCCATCAGTTTATGTTAGCCAGAAAGCTTCTTCATTTGCTGTCCGTACAGCAACTGTAATATGTTAGACTTTTGTGTGACTCCTTACTGAGTGGACCTTTTATGACTGCAAGGTCCCGATTTACTGAGTAGCCTACGATGCTGTAGTTCTTTATTGCTCATCTGGCTGTTGGTCATTTACCTTTATATATTTGTATATGTTGTATTATATAGAACCACTAAACTACGATAAACACAGTTTTTCAATTGGAATTGGTTCTGCTGCCCTTGGCCTTGTACAGCCCATATCATGCGTAAAGCTAAGGTGACTACTTTCCTGCTAGATTGACAGCCCAAGTAATCGGGATAGTTGTGACAGTCAGGTTTCATTTCGTACAGAATTCTCCCCACCAAAAGTCCGTATTCAGTTCATTGATGAATGCCTGTCAGGTGCAGAACATCCTAAACAATACTGAACCTCCGTGGATGGAAATCAGATCATTGGCAACAGTGTGTATCGCCAAAAGCTTACCAATAAATACGCTGTATCAGATTGTGTCCCGGAAATGAAGCGTAACTTTGCAATGTATTCTCCAGTGTTTTTCACGAACTGCCTCATAACAGGAGATATTCGTAATGTATATTCAGTGGATAGATGACAAATAGTTCAAACGAATTTTCACTCCATTAGGAAAACGCATCAGTTCAACCAAACCGACAGGGGATATACCTCCGCACTTGATGAGATTCATCCGTGAATTATATGTCATTCTGGATCGGATATTACTCCAACCGCTATCCCTAGAACGAATTTCCGTTGCTCGAACAACAAATTAGCCAGATCAATACAGAGGTTGAGTCTGATAGCCAACTTGTCCAGAGATCTGATTGTCCTTCCTCTCTCTCTCTCGTATGATTTCAGTAACTCTTGGTCGATCCCGTAACTCGATGTCATCTACGTAGTGGAAATGAAGATTTGACGAAAGGATTTATAATATTCGTGTACCTTGAGCGTATGACGGACCTGAAGCTTAGTGGGGAAACAGTGTGGATAACACTCAACGTAGGCGAAAATGTGGAATTTTCGTAACACGCGGAGATGATGACCCTGTTTCTGCTCCGTCCGTTCCCAGTAAAAATGGATATAATGAGTATAAAAATAATAACTATTTCACCCATTTTGCCGGGGTCTTCAAATCAGTTTCGTTTTCTGGAACGGATTCAGAAAGATGGTTGGATATTTTACTGCAACAGACATCAACCATATGAGTGAGCGGGGAATCTAACACACTCTAGGTTGAGGAAGTGAGAATAGCTTTTAAAATTTTACTTTGCTCTATCGTTTGTGTTGTGCAAAAATGTAAACATATTTGGGCAATGAATTTGGGACCAAACAGTGTCTGTCTATTGGTGAGTGAACAGCGGCGGTGGTGCAACGGTTCAAAGTAGCGATGGAAAAAACGGCGGATGGCACATTTCTGTACTGATGACACTGAATTCCAATGGGAAGTTATGCTCTTGAATTGCACGAGAGAGTATTTCGCTTCAGGTGAAAGCCCTCATAACAAAACAAAAGACAATGGAACAGTAATTCTGTTGTATTTTGCCATCAATCATGTACGCGTAGCATCAGGCTAAGTAACACAAGTTATAAAGCAAATTGGTTAACTGAAGCAATGTTACTGAACATGGAGCCAATCGGCTATCTTCGTGTCTATGAGTGGTTGTGGGTGTTTGGCTTAAGATATCTTAGGCTGACGGTGAACGTCACACACTGTCTGACACATACGAACGTGCATGCATCATCGACAATTCCTGGTATCATTTGAATTGAATTCATTGTAACTCGATGTGGAACTTTGGTCATTTCGAGGGAATCCATCAATCGCACTGTTCTCCAAACACGGATCAATGATCGATTTCAAATCAATCCGTTGTCCTGTGCTCATGAAAACTCTCAGTCCCTTCGTGGTAGACCGTGGATGAGCTAAAGTCTTGGCATCAAGTGTAAATATACGTGAGAGGCCTGCGTGGATGGGGAAGTTGGTGTCTACTAGATGTTGTGAACAACGAAGTGAATGTGTTGCACAGGAAATGTGCGACTGAGTAATCAACCCATCGATTGTTCTCCTCTTCGTGGTTTGACATGGTCACTAAACTGTTTGCGCGGTTGTAGAATGAAAGGTGACGGACGGTTCTATGATGGTCAGAAACTTGATAGCATTAACTGAACCCGTGTTTCAAATTCCGTGAGTTGATGCTCACAGAGTGACGAAACTAAGTATGAATCTAGGCAGAAAGCATAAAGTTTTTGTAACACAAAATTGAAAATGTATATTGTATACATAAATTATATATACACCAAATTGAGCATGGTTGTACAATGCTTTTTAGTCAGAAAATATGGCCAAAACAAGTTGCAGAGCAAAGGAAGACCTCATTTCAGAAAGATTGACATCCTTGTTTGTTAGGACACGTGCTGGAAACGGAACAACGGAATTCTTGTGCGATGACAATCTGCAGGGAATCAGTTTATACCTAGACCGGGTCGATGCTTGGGACTGACGAAGTATCGGATCAAAATGCAATGGTTTCTAAGTATCGGAACGGATTTTCAGTGCAAACGCAACGGATGCTGTTATGTGCCCAGTGCATAGCTCCAAGACTGGGTTATTTATTGATATACAGGAAATATGACCAGTAATGCATGAGCCTCTGCGAAGAGTGACGAGGTCCATTTTTAGTGATCCTGGGAAAATGAAAGGGGGAAAATAAAGAATGATAGGTAATATACATTGTATTACGAAAGTGGGAATAACAGCCTGTGTGACACTAAATTGCTGGGGTTTAAAATCTGATACGACAACCGACACAACTTCCGTGCGGTGATTTCAATGTGCAAAGACCAATGCAGATTATGCTGCAGAGTACCAGCAAGAAATTCCGCGTGGTTTATACGTGCAAGGGGAATGGAATTCTTGGTAGAAGAGTCTTCAGTGAATCGGAACGAGTAATGGAAGAATACACTCTCGAAGTTAATTGCTGCTTAACAGAAGACCAGACTGATTAGAAAGGCTTTGAATGAGTGGAAGATTTTCAGTGAATTGGTCGAATTCTGACTTATTTGAGATGGATCTAGCCAGAACAAAGTCGATAGCATGTTCAAAGATGTCTTCTGGCTGGAAGACAAGCAATTTACTAATGAATGTTGGAAACAAATACGGAAAAAGGAAAGCACCTGAAAGTGCACTTTCACTGATTAAGAGATGTTCGGATTCTTCTCTCTCTAATTTGGTGCATTGTGTTCTTCCAGAGAAATAGTCTTCCAACGAATTTAGTAAGTACACAGGAAACCAGAAGATTCTAGTTTCTTGAGAAAAAGCGAGAGTGGCACACTGTTATAGGCCGACGTGCAATCAAGAAAAAAACACATCTGCCTGACTTGCTGGAATCATTGAGGGATTTGGCAATATGGTGTACGATGGACACTACTACATCAATTGTAGAGCATTTCGATTTGTACGCAAATTGCAACTCGACGGTTGGATTTCTCACCGTGGTTTGAAGTTGACGCAGCACAACGAGTTCTGCAAATCTCAACGCTGACGAAGATAGACCTAATGGTCGATACGTTTTGGGTTCCGTCTGGCTGTGGGTTGTTTCGGTATAGGAATAATTATAACAGGACTTCAACAATCGGGATTCAAATGTGGTTCCAGTAAGTTGTTAATTCCCGAATTCATCACTGCTCCATATCTGAGCAGCTGTGTTGGAAGATTGTCTGGAACAGTTGACGTTGTTGAATTAAGTAACTTGAGAAATTCTGTGAATGATACCTCTTGAAGGTCAGACGAGACAAACAGCGGGAAAATGGGAAGAGAGTCGTCTGATTGTCGGAGAAATAGGACCTTGAGACAGTTTATATTTACACTTATTTGGGAGGATTTCCTCGTCTGACCTCGGGGAAGCTTGATTCCACGCCACCCGTGTTTTATATTTCGAGGGTTTAGGAACAGTCAAAAGAAATTATCACCCAGTCTTGTAGTCTCAGGTTTGATCAAAATGACAGTTGAAGGACTTCAGGTTTTTTTCATCTTGTGGGCTAATTCTTTCCTCCTGCACAAGTGCATCAGGTATGGAGAAACCACTCTTCTGTGTTGGAAGTAAACACGTTTCGTCGGTCAACAAACACTAAAAAATCGACCTATTCAATTCCGTTTTTGAAATTTATAGAAAAATACGCAAGTAAAAGCTATTTCAACCACCATAGAACAACAGAGAATGAATTATTGAGAAGTAATATAATCGCCGTAGAAATGGTTCTTCAATTGATGTTCATCTGTTTGGAAAGTTCGTGCGATAAATGACCTTGATGAGAGTATATTTTAGGCCTAAGATGTAATATGCAGTGAGCATTGGTGCTATTGTGTGCTCTTAGCCAGACAGAGAACGGTTCTGGGTGATTGGTCAGGATGTGGTTTAACTGGGAGTTACCACCAGTCGGAGTATCACAGATACTGAGAAGGTTGAAATATGAAAGGGGAGGTGTTGATGTGTGAATAAATTCTATCACCATAATGTGAAGGTTCTCATCAAGCATAGCCGAAACGAAAGGACCAAATGAATCATAGAAAATGATAACTGAGGTTTGTGAGCATTGTGGTGCTACAGTGATGTTGCTGATGATGACTTGACTGAAATGAGAGAATCTAGGACCACATGATACAGCTAAACAACATATGCCATCAAGGGAGTAGGGAAATATTACGGAGGACTGGCCACACCACTTGGGATTGATATAGATGAGAAGTTAGCCACCTCTTTCTCCCTGCAATGTATACGGTACTGACGGAAGCAGGTGAACACTTCTATTTAAACCCTAGCTTCATTCATGTTGGCATTCATCCAATTTTCTTGTAAACATGTAGTACATGTATTTCTAAAGCTGCAACCCAAGAGCTGGTATGTAAAACCCGAAAGCTTGTTGGAAATAGAACTCACATTATTACATATGACTCTAGGAACTGTCATACTGCTTGGCTCTTTCCTTTTAAGAGCAGCCTGCCAACCACCTCCCTTAGCTTTCTTTGTGTGATAGTTCCGATTTTAGACTTCGGATATTGGGCACACATTTTGTTGTCCAAGCATGTCTTTTATCGATAGCTTACACCGCTTTGAGTAATTTTGATCACGCAACATGCAAAGAGCGATCGAATAAAATAAATAGTTCCGAAAAAAGTAATTCCAAGGATGAACTAGCACACAGCACAGCCAATCAAAGAGCCCGCGGTGACATCCACATTTTGAACATGAAGCCCCACACCGCGTACTAAGCTCTACATTCACAGAAAAGCGTTGTGGAAGTTATAACTCATTACTTTTCATCGCTGCCCTATTCAACAAAAACAAGGGCTCTAATTTTATGGTCAACTTGAAAGAGAAGAAGTAGGGGAGGTTAATTTCAAGTTATACATTCTATGAATATATAATCCAATGTTCATTGGATCACATTCAGCCGTGTGCTGTTCGCCTCATTAGGATAGCTGAGTGAATAAATCCATGACAGTTGTTGAATATCGTTGGGATAGTGGGTTGTGCATTATTGTATATTCATATGTGTTGTTCGTGTCCGTTCTGTGATATCTCGGCTGGTAAATTATCCGCTCGATAAGCATGACGTCAACAGTATGATTCCAGCTCACGGTGTTGAACTTTTGAATGAAGTTGATTTTACACTGTACAAGATTCATGATAGTCCCACCAGTAATACATTCTATGAATACATTTGTCTGGAATACTTTTGATTTGAAGTGATACCATCCGAAAAATTGTTCATCATTCCCATTTCACTAGATGTGTTGAAAAAGATTTCATAGCATCCACGTAGAAAGGTGCATGGGTATTTTATCATATACATTTAATGTGAAAAATAACGATGCCGAGAAAGACAGAGAGAGAAAATTTACCTGTAGGAATTACAGCAACTCTCTAGCCAGATCTACGTTGTAATTTGGATAATCCGCCCTACATTATTGATCATAAGGGTACTAGGCAATGTTTATTCTTTATGTCATGGTATCGAAGTAGCACCGATACAAGAAATATACGGAAAGCAAATGGAGGAAACGACGAACCAAAAGGCGAACCGCGCGCGTACAATCGGCGAAAACCGAAATTGTATCAAAAACGAGGTCGACGAAAACCTGGCGAAGGTCAGCTCAGTAAAAAACGTACGAAACCAAAGAACTACAGTACAGCCAAAATCAAGCATCAGAGAAGACTGTGGCGAAAATAGATTCAAAATAATTTACCGAATTTGTTCATTTCTCGGAGCGATCGAGATCACTAGAGGGGATGTCGTAGACAGGAGGCGAGTGACTGCTAGCTAAAAAATCACATATCTGTTCTGGATAGCACTCTGATTCGTGGCTTCAATGGAAACTATACTGGCATCAACTGAAGTCAAAATCTAATAATATCAATGATGGATTTTCTTCGCTATCATTGAACATGACTGAAAACGCGTTCATTGTGTCCAATTTTAGAACATATTAGACGAATTTGCAACCGATCTCGTAGATCGATATACGTGATGACATTGATATCTGCGAACTGGACTGGGTCGTCTCGCTGCCTAAAGAATTTTACACGGGTTCAACAATTCTGAGGATTTTACTGATCTTGGAGTTGTATCCGATACCTCGATTTTACAAGATTTGGAGCTTATGCAGTAAGACAGATATTCGATTGAGTAGAGTTTTTTCAAAAAAGGACATGCGGAGGGGCAGCGTGAAGGTCGATAACATCTTATCACACTGTTTTCTTATCACACGCGTTCGTCAGTAATGCCTAATATGTGTTGACAACCTGTCCCTCAGTATGATGCTCGGCACTAAGCCACAATGATCACCATGGCAGTGTTCCTCACAACTCATGAGAAGGAGAAATATTATCGATGGAGAGAGAGTCATTAGGGTATGCTGCTAGAGCTAGCATGAAGCACGCCCATGCAAACGGTTAACTAAC